AGCTTTTATTGTGGTGTCTATTACTCCTTAAAAGCCTCATCTCAAACAGGAGAAGTAAAACATGTATTTTTATTTAAGCATTTAGCATTTAAAAATCAAATCCTATGAAGCTAACATGCCAGCTCAAAGTAAACCTTTCAGTAATGGAGTGCATTCTCTAAGAAAGCGTGACATCACTGACCCTCTGCCAACAGAGCATGTGCTTTGAAGTGACAGGGAGGAATCTGTCTTGATTGGAGCAGGGCCTTGTTGAGCGAGGTAGCCAGTGCTCGGGCCATGTTTTTGGCCAAGTCATGGCCCTGGGTTAGTCAAGTTTGGGCTAGCCAGGCCTGAGACATAAGGAAAGAACTAACTTGGCTTCCTTTTGAGCCAAGTCATAGTTAATTCTGATATTGAGCCTTCCTGGATCTTTTTAAATCTGCTTTTAGAAGTCCCCTAAAGAAAGCCAAATCAGTTGCATTGTTATAGGTGTTTCTGGTTTTGAATTCAGAACACGTGGCAGTCACTGTGCAGCTTCTTCTGTTGACAGCTGACCTCGTCTCCCTCACTTCCTTGAGTCCAACCTCACCTTATCTCCACATCATCCTAACTCTCCATCGTCATCACTTCTTTCATCCTAGACACATATTTTTCCAGTACGACCCATCCCTGATCACAATGTCCATCCAAAGCCATCATGTGGTTGTTTCGTATAGAAACCCAACCTATTTTCTAGCTTTACCTGGGCTTACTCTCCTGTGAGCTGAGGACCAGTCTGCCCTGCAGGCCTCCTGACCCACACCCCAGGGCTCTTATGGAAACAGAGGTAGTTCCTGGGTTAGAGAATTGGGCTAATGAAATGATCGAACTTGACATCAAAGGAAGACAGNTATTGTAATAACTATGTATGGAGTCAGGTGGGTACTAGACTTATCGGGGTGATCACTTAGTAAATTATATAAATGTCTAATCACTTTGTTGTACACCTGAAACTAATATAATATTGTATGTCAACTGTAATTGAACAATAAAATAAAATAATTAAAAAGAAGGAACACTCGACTATTAACAAATTCATGGGCTGGCCAAGTGGCTCAGTTGGTTAAGAGCTTGCTCAAGAGTTTGAGCTCTGAGCAACAGCGGTTCGCATCCCGGCCTGAGCTGAGCAGCCGCTGAGCTGCCAACAGGTGGCAGGATGGCTCAGCTTAAAAAAAACAAAAACAAATTCACTATACTAGTCAAATTCCAAATCAAAGCAGCATGAGTATGGATGTGGTATAATTTTAAAGGAGCTATTTGTTACAATGAACCAGAACCAAAGAGATTCTCAAGCAGACAAACTCTGCTTTGGAATCCAGCTTAGATACAAGTGAAGCAGGCCAAGACTACAGGGAGGGTCACGTTGGCAAGGAACACCAGCTCAGCAGTTACAGGATCGTGGAACGCTGAAGTCAGAGGGTTCTCTTAGAGTCATACGCTGTCTAGAAAGCCTCTCAGAGAGTCTGAGCATCAGCACTCTTTCTTTTGGTTCCCAGTCCTACATAAAAGCAGGAAAATGAGAACAAACTAAAATACATTAAGTGCCATTGTTAAAGATATGCTTATTTAGAGATGACAGTCTTTCTTTTTTTTTTTTTAAGCTGAGCCATCCTGCCACCTGTTGGCAGCTCAGTGGTAGCTCAGCTCGGACCAGGAATCGAACCGCTGTTGCTCAGAGCTCGCACTCTTGAGCAAGCTCTTAACCAACTGAGCCACTCGGCCAGCTCCAGATGACAGTCTTGTAAAGAATCAATAATAGCATGAAGTATGAAGATTGATTTTATTCCACGAGTTGTTCTCTATATACAGACAAGATGAAAACTAAATTAAAATACATTTAATTTTGTCCATAGATTTCAGTTGGATAAAGTAATTAATGACCAACACGTTATTAAAATGGTGACAGGGTAAGCTATTGGGGAGGCCATGGTGTGTGCCAAGAAAAGATCTATTAGATAAAATATAGCACACTAGGGAATGAAGATAGAAGAGTTATAATAGGAAAAAAAATGATAGAAAAGGAGAGTTTGAAATAGAAATGAGTAAAAATAGAAGTTAAAGGATTGGAAGAAAAAAGATGAAAATGGAATTTTTAGCAGATTTAAATGATTTGACTAGGAAGGGTGGCTGGGTCATCTCTAAAATTCTTTTCGGCTCTTAGATGTTGAATATATGAAATGTTAAAGTTGGGAAAAGGCAAAGATGGCATCTTCATAATAAGTTGCTTCTGATCAATAGGAAGTTAGGATTTATCGGAGCCCTCCAAATCTGCCTCTGTTCCTCCATCGCTGCCACCAGTTCAGGCCTTTATCATTGGATCACTGCCCATCAGCAGGTCCCTGGCCTTCCACCCGCTGCTGCTCACAGACCCAGCACACCTTCCACACCACAGCCAGACTGATTGCCCCAAACCGAGACTGTGCACTGTCACCTGTCTAACAGCCTTGGGGGGATCCCAGCAGCATTCAGATGGGAGCTGGAATTGGAATGCCCTAGTGGTCCTAAGAGTGGGAAAAAAGGTGCTTAAAATCAGGGCCTGAGAGATTTAATTTTATCTCATGATTTTGTTCTAAGAGGAACCTTGCTCATGCGCACTTGATATAAAAGAGCAAAGGGTTTTATAAATCACAGTATCTCCATGATGTAATTANGGCTAGCATAGTGCCAGACTCAGAGCAGGTTTTCAATAAATGTTTGCTGAATGAACAAAAAGGGGAAAACTGACTCATATCTGGACAGCCCAGGCCCAGTCATGGTTTTAATACCAACTTTGTTTTGTCCCGGAATGAACCTTGTTGTCCTATCTGCCATAGAAAAGCTTATTTACTTGTAGATTCTTTCCTTCACCATCCTCCCACCAAACAGCAGCTATGACCTGGTTTGCCTCTAAAACAAGATGAGGAAAGTTGTGCGAGGAAGTAGCTCAAACTTTTTGGAGAAGTGTGGGCCCTTTCAGAATTGTCCCCACTAAACAACCCTAAAACCCGAGGCTGAAGAACAGCGGTGAGGAATGAATCAGCTGTCCCCCCTTATCTCATCAACAGTTTGGGTCAAACATTCCTACTGCCCTCTGCCAGGTAGATCCTGGTACCACTCGTGGCCGGATAGCACCAGGAAGTGTTCAGGGAACATGTTTCCCGAGAAAAACACTAATGTTTTCTCCTTAAATGGAAGATAGGGAGAAAAATAAAAGTAGAAAATAAAGGAGGAGAACAAATTCATGCAAAAATAGGAGGAAGGAGAAATAATAGAAATGTTAAAACGTCAAGGCAAAAATCTATCATTAGACTGAAAGGGACGTCACAGAGCAAATATAATTGATCAGAGACCCCATGACATGCTGGCAGCACAGAGCTCGTTGACGTTGCTATCTCAGCCACACAGCCCTGTGGGCACCTCAGAAAACCAAAAATCCTTTTCATGGTGAGCATTGAAAATAGAGGTTTTGTAACAATGTGGTACAGAAAGGGAGGAATTTTAAAAATGAAAAGCTGGGTGCAGTTTATTCACATCAGCTTAAGGCTTGGGAAATCTAAAAGGTAGCATTTCTTTATAAATTCCTAGAAATTGAACCTCAGTCACAGTACCTGAAAGGCTGGGACACTGCTCTCGGGTGCCCTTTGATATCGTCCGACCTACAAAAATCAAAGACAAACTGCTCAGGATCACCAGGTTCACACATTTTAGTAAAGACCAAAAGGCACATCGTATGGAGTCAGACCAGTAAAAATATTAAATCAGAAAAGGGAGAACCTTGTAAATGGATATTATTGGGTTGTCAGAAAAGTATGATGCATTTTTGCAACAAAAAAACATAGAAAAAATACGTCATGACTTTTCCAACAACCCAATAGTATTCATTCGCTTTATGAAATAAATCCTAGAACCAGCAGGAAATCTATTTTAGCCATTTTGTTTCATCTTGAATTTCATTTATAGCAAATTGTTTTTAATCAGAGATGATATTGCATCTACTCAGTAAAAAAATGTCCAATGATGGTACCATGATGCTGTTAAGAAAACCTAAATTCCAAAACAATGAGAAAATTTCTGAGACTAGAAAAACCATATTGGAATGAGCCTTCTAAAATCTGTGTAGCAGAGATTCTCTCACTTCTTTTCCCTACTTGTTTGCCAAGTTATATTCCAACGTATCCCTTTTTTCCCTTTATGATTTCTTAAGAATGAAATATGAATGTTTGAAATGAATTTTAGTCAATATAAAGCCATTTCTTAGAGTTTCAAGGGGGAAAATGGTGAGTAAAAGAGATTAGTAATCTTGAGAAACATTCCATGGATTTAGGCCATATATATAATGAAAACAGCATAAACTTGGAATAGTACTGGCTTTCAATATCAGCTCCATTCTAATTCCACTCCACTGGGGAGTGATTTAACCTCTTCAGCCTCAAGCAACTGACCCCAACCTGGGTAATAACGCATACCTTTTATGTTAACCCTGTTACTACCGCATATCCAAACAGAACAGCTAACTTGGCTCCTGGCCAATAGCAGCTGCTCAGTCAATGGTGGGTCTCCTCAATTTTGCAGGATTTTGGTGGTTATTACTAAGCACCAGGCTTGCCATCCCATCTCCTCATCTTACTACAGAAAACAATTACTGCAACTTTGAGCTCTATTGCACCTTTATTTCTCAGGTCAGGAAAACAGTACTCAAAGCACAGGTAATGGTGTGAGCAGACTCAATCTGATTTAAGGGCTATAATCCTCCCAGATAACACATGAAAACTAAATTCCCTGTGAATCTGACATTTATCATACTGTTATGCATCCCCCTCACTTAAAAGTCAAAGAAAAGTAGTCATTTCCCATTATAGTCCTTTCTGCACTTGCCATTCCATACATCACATTACAACAAAGACTCGATGATATTTACAGATTTTTGCACCTACGTTGGTCCTGAAGCCTTTTTTAACCTAATCTGAACTATCAGCAGGTTTCCAATGTTGTGGTCAGAAATCAAGTCCCATGAATTGATCCTGATGAGTAATTTCAGACCAAAGCAAATGGTTTATAACTTTACAGGCACAGGTAAGAATCTCTTATTCAATTCTCAAACATAGAAGGTAAGACTAAGGAGCTAGACATAGCAAAGCTTGGCATACAGTACTTCCCTGCACACTCTAGATGTAAACAAAAGCCTCGGCACACCTGTGAGGATTTGCCACAAGAGGGGAAACCCACTCACAGGAAAAGAGTGGAACTGCCAAATGAGTTTGGAACAGAGTCCCGGAGACAACTAACTGCTTAGCCATTTAAGGTGCAATTCCCAAAATTCAGATACAGCAGTTGCTTTCAATAAGCTTCTAAAGCTCAGCTACACCTCACAGTGATAAAATGATAAACAACATGAAATAGTAATAAGAAAAAACGAGGGTAAATTGCTGCTTATATAATGATATTCAAAAGACAGGATTAAATATTCTATCCACAAATGGAAGCACATACATTTTAAGGTTTAAAATGGGCCTACCTAAAAGCACAGGATGGTGAGGAGCGTGGCTGTCTCTGACTTTTTAAGGCACGTAGTTTGTCTCCCTGGGTTATGCTATTTTTCATTTCCACATCTTCATNTCCGTCTCCTTCCCTGTGAGCCGCACGTAGCAGAGTGCCAGGTGCCAGGCAGCACTCGGTAAATACCTAACGAATGAACATTCTTCCAAACAATGATTCTAAGAGGTGACCTAAAGATGAGGCTTTGGAATAATTTTTGTTTTCTAATCCTAAGGCCATTTATTCAACTTTAGTAGGTAATTAGTAAAAGCACGAGGCAGACACATGGCACAGAGGTCCATGCTATAGGCACACATAATGCAAAATAGTGGAAACGACTGGCAGAGAATCTGATAAAGAATAAAACTTGAAAAGAATGCAGTTATTTAATTTGTACCCATTGGCCCCAAAACCTAGCCCTTTTGTCTTCCTTATAAATTATGGGGATTTTTTTTCTTGTGTATTCATTATACTTCTGCCTCATTCTTTTAAGCTAAGGTATATCTGCGTATTTTTCAGCACTTGTGTTCTCATCAGCTATTCCATCTGGGATTGGCCACTAAAGTAATTCCTCAGCAGGCTCAGATCCTTGTTACCATTTCAGATGTTGATCGCTTACTTATAGCATCTTCCTGTGAAATTCATGAACATTTGTTTTTCACCAATGTTAACATGATTTAAATGGGAGAGGAATTAATTATATGGAAAAGAATGCTATTTGAAATATAAAAGAAAGTATAAAAAGAAAAAAAATAGAAACCTCGGTATAAGATATCACTAATTGATAACACTTTAGAGCTGGACCTAAATTAGCCAGTGCTAACTTCATCTCATTTTATTAATGGGTAAACAAGCTAACTGTACATACTTTCTAAAATGTTAAGGGGAAGCCAGAAAGGGCTGTGCCCTTACAAGTTAAATCTCTACCCCTTGTGGACTAGGGTTTGACAAATAGTTAATAAATGAGCATGTGAAGGAATGAAGGAATGGAATTCATAAGTATTCTTTTAAATAACGGTCATAAAGCTAATTAGTGGCAGGGCCAGAACTGAAACCCAATTTTCACTTTTCTTCCTTGATAACTCCTAAGTTGCAGCTACACTAGCAGATGAGTTAGTTGTCAGAGAGCAGCAACCTCACCAAAGTCACTGACGGACCTGAGTTGTGTTGTTTTTTTTCCCCCCATTCTGCTTTTAGACATGCAAACAAAAGAAAAGAATGAAAAGTGCCAAGTGGGATGACATAAGAAAATTGCACTGTAGCCAGATCACACATAGAAAATGACAGAAAAAAGGTAGGCAGAGATCACTCTATGATTTTCTTCTCACTCTCCCCTGATCCAAGAGATATAAAAGGCATGAAGTTAGACTGCATGAGCTGTCAAATCGACAATATTCCATCAGAGGCACTGACTTCCCTAACAATGCAGCCATTTTATAACCACAGGTCTGACACATGTCACGACCAGGGGAACAAGAGGCAGAAAATACCAGGGTGTAATTCAATAATGGAGACAACAGACTTACTCTTCTAGGAAGTGCTGCTGGGGTCCTATAATGGAGCCCGGCCGGCATATTCTGATCCAAGCAATTATTTCAGCGTGTGTAAACCTGTAGTGTTTCATGACATAGCAGGCTATCAATGTCCCTGTTCTTCCAAGACCAGCTGTAAGAGAGGGAAAAAGAACAAGAAACACAAAATATAGCAAACGCACCTACAAAAACACTGACATCCCACCCTGCCCAGAAATTATAATAGTGTGAAGTATAATGCAAGATTTTTAAACCCAGATAATAATGTAATGCTTTTTACACGATGTGGGGTTAAAAGATCATTCTAAACCCAGAAATCTTTTAAAACAGATTACATGGTTAAAATACACATGTATTAAGAAAGTATAAAAATCAGCCCAAAGGTCTTCAAAAACTATCAAGTTCAACCCCTGAGGGCCTTTGAGAATGACGGTCATTGTGAACATTGTTAAGACAATGCTGGACCCATGACAAGCACTTGCAAAATATCACCTGTCAGGTAACCCCTGAGTCAGTAGTGTAACTGATTATATTATTATGGTCATTTTTTAACCTACTTAATTTTTTTTAACTTTTCTTAGAGTAAGAATTTGATTCATAGAATCAAAGTTAGAGGACACCACAGACATCACCAAGCCCTATCAACTGCCTAACCCATAATTGTTTCAATACTTGATCAGATGTTCACCCTAACCTCTATTTAACTCATTCAGAGAGCGGGATATCATGATTTCCATCAATAGGCACTGATGGAACTCCTACTACCTGCCAGGTACTATGCTGGGAGCTGGGGTTACAGTGACAGATAAAACAGACACGGTGCCTGCCCTCGTGAGAGCACACAGTCCACGGAGGGAGGACCAAGCACACAGAAGTACTCGTTTCATTTCCTGAGGCGCTTCCTCTTTAATAACTTCTGTGTCAGAATATTTTCTTTATGTTGAACCCAATCTCTGTTATGTAAGATAAATAAAAACAATTAGAAATGATTTTCAAAGAAGTACTGGTTACTGTCATGAACTCTGACTTCTTCAAAGTGTTTTTACAAATTGTTATATATATTTTTTTCTCTCCAGAGAAATAAAAATGATAGGACTTTAAATGTTAGCCACTTTTTAAAAAAATATACACTGGCTTCCTCTTTTTCCAAAAATATTCAAAAGCTTGATCAAGCTATAGGTTCTCAAATATAGTGGTTGTTGTTCATATCCCAGAACAACTGAGGCCCAAAGATACTACCAACTGACTCACATTTTGTGTAACAAGTGAACATGGAATTAGGACCCCCAGGTGTCCAGATTCTCACCCCAGAATTCTTTCCCCCCTCAGCTCATCTATTCTGTCACTTATTTCTATGAGCGTTGACTGAGACCAGCTGTGTATGAGGCACTGTGATAAATGCGGGGGATGGAAATATGAAGACAAGCAGGATGCCTGCCCTCACAGGTTTATAGCGCTGAGCTAATAATGCTTATTTATAAGCATTTTCTAAATCTTTCCATATCTGGCTTCTTGAAACTAAACTCAGTGCTATCAAGTTTTATTTGTTAAGTACCACCATAAGCAAGGCACTATGCTGAGTTATTTTTCCACTACTTAAATTCTGTTCCTATCATATACACTCTTTTTAACAGAAAGATAAAGTGGCTCTGTCTTCGTTTTTAAACATTAGATTCAGCTAGTCAAATGTTTATTCGTTGCCTACTACATCCCCAAGACAGGGCTCTACTCATAGGATTAGGATATATAAGCAAGTATAGGATATAATCCTTGACCATGATGAGCTATCCAAGTAGTGTAGACATAAGAACACTAGCTAAGATAAGCAGTAAGAAATGCAGTTTAAAATGAAACTGGGCTCTCAGAGAAAGACGGGGTGTGTGAGCTGCTGGTGTCTTCAAAGAATGTGTCATTGATGACAAGGACTTTAGCAGGCTCAAGACAAGGAAGGTCACCGGATGGTTTCGGCCAAGCGTCTGATGAGTGCAGTGTGGCGGGACCGGAGAACATGTTGTGGGCTGAGTGGGAAATAAGGTTGGATGGGCATGGAGGAGCTTGTAAGCAGGCGAAGTGGGTGACCAGCCCGTGGGCCGAAGACACCCAGGATGGCTGAGGTATTGTCAGGCGTGCTCCATCCAGGTGCACAGTGCTCTGCACACCGATCAAGTCACATCTCTCCTGTGTGTGTTATCACTCCTCAAACGTATGGAGTGGTGCTTTGAGGAACAAAGTTCACTCATTGGAAAAGGATTACCAAATTCGTATCATCAATAGCTAAATAAACATACAATTGCGATCATGATGTCTATGGGAAGGGCAGAATGAAGCTGCCGTATATTTGGGGGGCAGAAAGTGACATGAGGAGAGCAAACGGATCTGGCAGTAGCACGCCACTGGACTGGAGGGGACAGAGCGGGGCGCCTGAGAGGAGAGCTGGAGGGTGGGGCAGGGGGTGGGCGTGACCGCGGTAATAAAAAAGAAGAGCTGAATTAGAAAGACATTTTAATTGGATCACAGGGAAAGTTGAAGATGACTGATATTTCTGGCCTGGAAAACTGTTACAATGTCAAGTTCATGCATGGAAATATTTAGTTAGAAAAGGAAATAGGGGAAAGTTGATGACTTTTTTTTTGATAGGTTTAAGAATCTTTCCCCCAAAAGGAGGGGTCCTTTTGTCAGCTTCCCTAGTCAAATAACAAAGAGAATCTCCTCTCTCTCCCTACTACTTGGAAATACACAGTATTTCAGCAAATCTATCATACCATCATGTCATCTAATTGTGTCATGACACTATCCAGTTCCACTCAGTAAGAAAAAGTGAAACTCTGATATGCTACCAATTTTAAGATCCAGCCTAGTTCTATAAATGTGAAAATACGAAAAAGTTCTGTCTCTAAATCAATGTTTTTTAACCTTTTCTTCATTATTGTTCCCCCTCCTGAGAGCCTCTTTAGGGTTCTTTAAATTTGTCCCCCATGAAATTTTACTTCCACAGATATGCTGCATATCTCTTTATGTGCTATATGTAAATCTGTGCTTTACCCAGAAAATGGGGTTTTTGTCCCCAAAAAACAATTTTGCATCCTTGGGAGCAGTATCACCTGGGATTGAGAATACATATGGAAAATGCAAATGAAATTACAATCAAGCTCAAGTTTATAGATGCTTGGCATTCCCTTCCCATTAACCTTTCCTTTCCTAAGATTATATTTACAGTTTTATTAGAAGAGAGAGGTGGGTGGGGAGGGGGGGGGGAAGGGGAGAGATGACCTGGCTTTCATCTGAAGTACCTTTCGCCCCAGATCAAACTCCAACATTGTTTAGAAAAGAATAAGGTTTAATTATGTCCTCAGTGGGGCTCTTCCTTTAATATAAGAGCTAAGAGTAACTTGTCTTTCTGTTTCTGCCCAGAGCAGATGCTTTGTTTCTGCAGTTATTCCCTCCCCAGACATCTAACAAGACTACAGGTAATTATGTTGATAAAACGCAGCTGGGTGGATGGCTAGTCGCAGGACCCAGGGCCCAGCTGGTGTCCCTCCTTCATGTCACCAATGTGGGTCTCTGTCTGGAGAGAAGATGGCCTTATGGAGACAACACTGCCTCTCACTGCTCCCCTCCCTGTGTGAGGGGCTGTCGGGTTCCCTCATTAGGCTCCTTGTCACATACTCTCACAACCAAAAAAAAAAATGTGATGCAGAAAGTTTTCACATTTCTCTGAAACTAAAGTTGCTTCCCCCTTTATAAAAGAGTCTGTAATTTAGATCTATAAAAAGAACCTACTTCGCACTCAATACTTAGGAGCTCTTATCACAATTGAACAGAATAGGAATGAATGTTGCGCTAAGTTTCTATAAAAACGTTAACAAATTTCTTAAAGCATTCATAATTAAAGGGCTCCCTGGCACAGGAAGACAAGAAGTTGAAAAGTACTCTGTTTATACCAAGTTAAAAGTCGATTGCCTTACAATTCCAGGCGGTTCCTAAAATCCCTATAGAACATCAACAGTCAGACACCACAACAACACAATGTTGACACTATTTAAATTATTATTTGTGCTAGAAAATTTTGAGAATTCATAGCCATCTCTTTTATCAACCAGAAGGTGAACTGCAGATACCGAATCATCGTAAGATTTCACATCCCCAGCAAATTAGTTCTTCGTTTGTCTCTCCATATAGTTAGTGCCTTTTGTTGAGGCATGTTCGTTCTCTTTCCAGCAGCCATCAAATTTCATTTGACATAGAATAAGATTCTCTCTCCCTCCTCCTTGTAGTTCAATTAAAATGCTCAGTGCTGCTTGAATTCCCAGAAAATTAAGCTGACTTAATTAGGGCAGATGTCAAAATAATTAACAGGCCTACAGCAGATAAGCATGCTATTAAAAGCAATACATCTGTAATTAAGCCGAAGGTATAATCCTTATAAAAGAATCCTACGTGTGTGTACAAGTGGAAGCAAATGAAATGACACTCTCAAAAAGATGTTACCACATGTAAATGTGACCTTCCTATACAAGAATTGACTTCAATGCTAACGGTTCTGATTTTAGGACTTCCAGTAAGATGGAGGAGTAAACGCTGTGCTCGCCTTCTCCCACGAGCACATCAAAATTACAACTAAATTATAGAACAATCACCCTGCAGAACCACCTGAAGACTAGGCGAACAGAAGTCCTATAACTAAGGATACAAAGAAGAAGCCAAGACTGGAATGTACTAACTATGCCAAAACTACAAATTATTTTTAATGATAAAATAAAAAATGCTCTGATTTCAAATAAAGATATAAAAATAAAAACCTCTGCAATATAAATAAATGAATTTCTTAAAATGTCAACATTCACAGGTCAAGGACATAATACATAGAATATCTGTAATGAAAATGTTTAATACCAGAATGTCATATTTTCACAATGTTTGTTAGGTGAGGAATGCAATCATGAGAGAAGCTGACTTTTAATGAAAGCTATGCATTTCTTCTCCCTTGAATTTGTCAATCCAGGACATGACACACAGATAAACTATATGACTTGGAAATCATACACCTGACTGACTCACAAATAAGGTCAAATTAATCACAGGAAAAGTACTGATTTTCATGACACAAAAATAAACTTTGAAAGAGGGCATATGACTATCTCCTACTAAACACTGGCACTGCCATATTCCATTAGATCTCAAATTCCAGTGATATTTGAAATATGTGAAATGCAGGCTCTTCCCTGAGCCTGGGCAATCTTTAATAAACTGAAACAGAAAGGCAAAGTTGGGGTGCAAATGACCACAGCTAGGGCAAGCCACCCCACTGTGGCTTGACCAGAACTGAAAACAGCCGTCTGCAATGAGTGAAGAAAGGAGACTTTCCTAATAGATCCACCACCCGCTCCCAGAGACAGGAAGTCCTGCCAATCAGAGCCCTTTCCTGCCAAGAAACGGGGAAAGGGACGATAGGGGGGCTGTGTCGGTGTGGATGGCCTGACATAAGGAACCCTCGTCTAAATTGGGGACACGTGCAGCTCATTTCGCTCTCTCTGTGCATCTCTGGCAGAAAGCAGCTTCCAGCTCATCTCACATGTTGAGCAAAGTACCTCCACCTACTCAAATCTTAAACATAGAAACAAGGGCCTACAAAATGGTATTTTAATTACTGTCAGATCCAAAGCTGCACTTGTCTGAATAAGTCAGTTACAGCGGCGCTAGGCACCTGAAAAGAACAGTACAATCCCCAACACCTACTAGACAAATAGCATAAAACTCCAGACAGGGGTTCTGACTCAAAACCGTGAGAACAGCACCACCCAGTGGCATTACAGAAAACTGCATGTGAGGAACTAGAGGCTCCATCCCAGAATGGCCAAAATGATTCCTCTTCTCACTGAAATGAACAATCCCAGTGAAGTGCCTTCCACCATGCTGGAAAATCTACAGCGGAATTTGAGCCTCCTCAGAGTCTAACAACTAGGCTTAAAGCAAATGTTCTTTCCTATTTTCTGAGCAGCTGACACAAGGTTGCTAGATAAAAGACAGAATGTAAGTTCCACGCCATATTTGAGACATACTTATACTAAAAAAGTATTCATTGGGCCGGCCGAGTGGCTCTTTGGTTAAGAGTTGGCTTGGGAGCGTGAGCTCTGAGCAGCAGGACCGCAGGTTCGGATCCCACACGGGCCAGTGACACTGCGCCCTCCACAACTAAGATGCTGAACAACAGCTTGACCTGGAGCTGGGCTGCCGTGAGACGACGGCGACGGCGTAGGCTGCAGCACCTGCCGCAGTGGGCTGCCGTGAGCTACTGTGAGTGGCCAGCAGCCAGTGTGAGCAGCCGTCAGCTGGCATGAGCTGCCGTCCAATGGCCGGTGACCGATCTGCCTCAGCCAGGAAGAGCGCAATGATCACAATACCAACTTGGGCCAGTGAAGCGACGTCCTCCACAACTAAACTGAAGAACCAAAGGACAGCAACTACTCTGTTCCCCTTCCCCAATTCCCCAGCGCTGTTCCCTCTCCCAATTCCCCAATAAAATCTTAAAAAATATATTCATTGTTTATCTAAAATTCAAATGTAACTGGGCATCTTGTATTTTTATTTGCTAAATCTGGCAACCTTATGCCATCTATAAGCTGAAATACCCTCTGCCCGAAAGTACCCACCCCTAGAGGCCAGAGATTCATTTACATAACCAAGTCTTTCAGTTTGTTCAGAGGCCAGCAAGCCAGGCAGAGCCCAGTATGCTGCCATCCCCTAGCAGTGGGCAGGAAGACACTCTGTTCCATGATGCAAAAGACTAGCAGGGGCAGTGAGGAGCAGAGTGTGAAATGGGGGTGCAGGTAGCTGGGTCATACAATGAGACCATTAAACAGCAGATGGGTGGAGGAGGGTGGAAAGGAGGTGGGCAACCTGGGAGAAAAAGAAAAGGGGAACTAACAACCCTTGCCTCTTAACAAGTGTATTTATTTAAAAGTGTTCCCGAAAGCATCTTTCTCAAGTCTGTTGATATTTTGCTTCCAAGCATACCCTCTGTTTGGCTCAAATAAACTGTTATAAAAATTCTCTACTGGTTTGGACTTTCTTATGTCAACATGTGCCTGATAGAGCCCTTTCGTCGAAAGAGGTGATCTTGTCTGAAACGATCCACTCTTTTTCCCCTTCTAACTAAGTAGCCTTCCATTTTGCACGGCTCCTTTCTAATTGCTAGATGAAATGCTGCTGCCCAATTTGTGAATCATTGAATAAAGCCAAATAATAGTAAATAAACAAACAAAGGTGTTCCTGACAGCCTACAGGCACTGCTGCTATCATTTGCCCTCATAGAGGTACCTGGTGTCAGTGAACTTGAACTTGGTAAGTCCAGAAAAACTGCCTTATCTAGAAAAGGTCACACTACCACCGATTACCCACATCCAAACAATCCTTTCTTTAGGAAGGGGTTAAATAGGTTTGTTCTACTTTCCTAGAACATAAAAGGCTCATTTCTTTCCTAGGACACGAACTGGTTTTGTCTGACGTGGTTTGCTGGCCTCGGGCTCGACCCCTTTCAGAATCACGGCGCCCCACGAGGCCTCGCACGCACCTTTGCAGTGAACGGCGATGGCTCCTTCCGTGTTCTCACAGATGTTCAGGAACCTCCGCACGATGTTGTCACTGGGTGTGCTGCCGTCTATGAAGAAGAGGTCATAGTGCTCGAAGCCAGCGTCTGTGAAGCGTTTCGCCTCGTAAATCTTTTTGTTCAGCCTCACGATTGCTGTCACGTTATGCTTTTTGAAATAAGGGAAGTAGGCTTCAGGGGCGTGAAGAGGGTAACCTAAAAGGGAGAAGGAGCTGTAAGCAAAAGGCATGCGTTTCATCTTACAGAACCCAGAACACGAAAACCCATAACGTTTATAAATCTCAGCAGAGCTTTGGAGGAGAGAGCATTTCATGAGCATGTGAGAGGTCGCAGCACATTCCTAAAAGCAGCAGTCTGAATAACCAAAACACACCATAGGAAGGGAAAAACCTCCTTCGGGGACTGGAAATAGTTCATGAAAGTTTGAAACCTCAACCAGCAGGATTCAAATCCTGATATTCCTGAAGCAATCAAATGTGCAGTTGGCCTGGAAGGATTCTTGATTTTTTTTTATTCCACTTGATATATACTTTTCAACTACAATTAAAGCCTTTTTTCCAGATGTATAGATTTAACCTATAGTGCAGTCCCTCACCAAAGAGATTTGATTAGTAAGCACTTACCAAGCCACAATTGCATATCATTTCTATTTTCATTCTCAAAACAACCTATTCAGAATAGTTAACCCCATTTAACAGAGTAAGAGACTAAAAGAGGTTGAGTAAGTCTTTTGTAGACATCTTCTTTTTTGAGAACATGTGGCCAGCCTCTAAACCCTCTTCTATTTTGGGTGGCTCCAGCATCATGTGGGTGTTCCTGGGAGCTACAGTCAGCTGGCTGACAGACACATGACCTAGACTTGGCCAATCAACCAAGGTGACCACTGGCTTTGGCTACTGCAGGCCTAGGGGTTAAGGAGACTAATGTGTCAGCACACCGACTACCACATCTGTAACCCATCAGGTTCACTGACTCACGGCCCACTAGGCGAGATGCTCCCATGTAGAATTCATTTCTGGTGGGCTCCCAGCGTGGCAGGCAGAGTGAACCAGCAGTTTCTGCACTGTGTCCTGAGCTGTGTTTCCTGCTGCCGCCAACCCTGCATATGCTATGTATTTCCTATTTTCTCTCAGCTCTGTAATGCTCTTATACTCTGTTCTGTAATGCTGGGCTGGGGTCTGCATATTACATTGCCCAGGCTACCTTTCCGACTGGCTTCCTATCAGTTCCAACAACGGGAGGCACTCAAGGGTGACTGGAGGCCAGAGGCGGGAGAAGGGACCACTTGCTTTCCTGCCAGCATGGATGGCTTCAGCAGCTGAAGACAGAAGTGGCCAGAGCTCCCAGCCCAGTTGGACACTCCAGCACCAGCCTGCAGCCCAGCTGGTGTCCACTCCCCAGCTCCCAAATGTAAACCCCATGTGGTATGCCCTTCAGAGCTCCCAGCACCAGCCTGGCTCCACCTCCGAGCTCCCAAGTTTCAGTAACCCTACTTTTTTCCTTCTGTCCACCCAGCCTTCTCAAAGGCAGTAGCTGTTTCCTCCCCAATATTCTTGTTTCTTCAGTGTTGCCCTTTTACTTTTTAACTTTCTCTGCGACAAAACCCTCATAGTCAATTCCCTCTGTTTGTAGTAGTGGTTTCCACCCCTGCCTGGACCCAGCTGATAAATTGTCTCCCTTGGATCCTGTTTATTTTCTAAGACTCATTCTCCAGCCTTCCCTTGGAGCAGCGGTTCTCAACACTCCTCATGCCGCGACCCCTTAATACAGTTCCTCATGTTGTGGTGACCCCCAAGCATAAAATTATTTTCATTGCTACTCTATAACTGTCATTTTGCTACTGTTATGAATCGTAATGTAAATATCTTTTTGTTTTCCGATGGTCTTAGGTGACCCCTGTGAAAGGGTTGTTCGACTCCCAAAGGGGTTGCGACCCACAGGTTGAGAACCGCTGTCTTGGAGGCTGTGAGCTCTGCAACATAATTCCAGTAAATGCCTTTTGGGCTTCATTTATCAGAGTTGGCTCTGCTGCCTGCAACCAAGAGCCCGAGCTGGTACACCTGGCCAAGGTCACGCAACGGATGGAGGCAGAACCAGAAGGCAGGCCTGACTAAACCACAGCCCAGTTACATGATTTTCACTTTCGAGCAGACAGGTAATACAGAGCATATTCACAGTCTTCTGTGCAGAAACACTGATTTATATACACACATTTCGAGAAAACAGACACTTTTCAACTTGGAAAAATCAATTCTGTGTTCCTAGTTAATTTGCCCAAATTATTTCCCAGACTAAAGGGAACTGTGGTTGACATAAGGAAACAAGAGCTTTTATATCGTGTAAGGAATGGGACGGAGAGGTCTCATGAACACATGGGAAGTCTCCCTTTAGTGTGGTAGGCTGACCAGCGCTCCTGGGTTCCTAGCATACCTGGCACCTCCATGATGGCACCTGTCATGCAGTATGCTAATAGTTCATTTGATGTCCCCTCTTCCACCCAAGCTGTAAGAACTTCTCTTGTCATATATGAATTTCCACCAGGAACAAATGGCATTTGCATTAAACCAAATGGCACTTGCATTAAACCAACTGTTAAGAGAAACTACGTGTATCTTTTGAAAACAGAACACTGGACAGTTATCCAAATATGGCAATAGAACATTGAAATAATAACAATAATAATAATTGTACCTAACATTTATTGAGCGTTTACTATGTACCAGCCCCTAAACTAAGTGCTTCATGAGAATTATCTCATTAAACCTCGCAAATTACCCAATTACTGATGATTGGAAAAGTGAACTGGCCCATGCACACACAGCTGATGGAAGACAGAGGCAGCATCTAAACCCTGGCAGTTAGATTCCGGGTCCTGTGTGGGGGCTGATTTCAGGTAAGATCCAACTTGATTCTAATTGTTAGGTCTCCAAAAAATGGACATTATATGAACATTGGGAACTGCACTTCCTCGAGTTGGTTAGCAGGTTTCTTAAAAATCCCCAACAGCGTTTCAAATTAGTTATAACCAACAAACAATGACAATATCCCGTGATCTCTGAACAACTGTTTGTGCGTGTTTATCAATGCATTTGGATGCTTTTGACTGGGGACTGGTTTTCGCAATGTGTGTGGGGCTGACAGAGTACTCATCCGACCCTTACTCCATCTCACCACTAGATGATGCCCTAGCATCAGTAAAGCATAGGCAGAGCCCTGGAGCTGACCAAACCCAGAAACAGAATTTCAGGGCTAAGAGATTTAAAAATTCATCTCTTCCCAGCCCCTCATTTAAAGTTAGGAAACTGAAGGACAGCAGTCTAATGATTAGTCTACCCAGTCATTACTAAAAGCAAAAACTGCAAAATGGGCAAGCAAATGTAGGAAGCAATAAAATATTAGGCTCATGCATAATAAAAATGTAATCAGAATATCTGCTATCTAATAAGCACCTATTATGGGCCTGACACTGTGCAAGGCACTTCATACAATATCTCTAATCCTCATGCCTGAAATATGCATCTTACTTCTCCTGTTTGAAATAAGAGGAAAATGATGCTCAGAGAAGTTGAATAAGTTCACCCAAGTTCACACGGCCAGTAAGGGGTGGAGCCAGGCTTCAACCTATCCAGGCTCTCCATACCTGGCTTCTCTCATTAAAAAAGAAGGTTGACACTTTAAATTGTTGGGATTTCCTGTCTCAAGTTGCCTTTGTGCTTTTTTCTTTTCCTTCCTTCCTCCCTTCCTTCCTAGAATACAAATGAGAAGGATATTGCCACCTGAGAATTTTGGGAGGGTTTTGGAAAATTTGAAATCAAAAATATGTTTCATTCTACAGCTATTATTATTAACCAATTGAAACTTGTTTAGCCAAAAAAAGATAGGGCTCTTCTCTTCCCGACTGTCAAAATGGGGACCAAGATGGCTGACAGAAATTCCTACAGGCTCTGTTGACACAGCACACACTTAAGATTCTTAAAATGAATTCTGCCCAGATCCCAAGATTTGAGGACCTTCCTGCTGCATCCTAGCAACAGTTATTTGACTGTTAATTCCTTAAAAATTCACCTTTTCTACTAACAAACCCCTAAAACGACTTTCAGCCTCCTCAGGAAACAGAGGATTTCTCAAAAAAAAAAAAGTGTACCAATATTTCACTGTATTGGATCAATTTCATTAATTCCATCACAAAATTACTTTTTAAGTTTAAAAGGGGCTTACAAAGTTAAAGCCTTTAAAAAAAAACATGATGAAGCTTCTAGTGAATATCAGATCTTAAAAGGAGGATTCCAGTAAAATATCAATATTTTATTGACAGTCTTAAATAAAATTGTTCTGGACACATAAAAACCAACAAATACTAGGTAAGCAGCGCTTTCAGACTTTCTTTCCTCAGTATGAGAGGGCACAATATATGCATAGAAAAAAAGATGTATATCAAGCAATATCTTAACAGTGATTATGTAATTATATAATTATTATATGCATGATATAATTGGATTATATAATTACAGGTGACTATCTATAGTACTTAAATTTTCTATATTGAACAGGTACTTCCTCTGTAATAAAATTTAAAAGAACACAGAATTTAGAATCAAAGAGACCTGTGTTTGAATCCACACACTGCTACTTTCTAGTTGTGTGAACCTGGGCAAGTCAGGTAACTCCTTTAAGCTTCCATCTTCCTTCCATAAAAGAACTACCACCTACTCCAGAGGGTGGTTCTGATTATTAGATGATGTGTGCACAAAAGGCTTAGCACCATTTCTGGCATATAAGCAAACAGTGGCTATAATTATTTCCCTATATTACAATAAGGGACCAAAAAGAATTTTTAAAGATTTTTGACAGTTAAGAATTCTCAGGCCGGCCAAGGGGCGCGTTGGTTAAGAGCTGGCTTGGGAAGCCAGCTCTGAGCAGCAGGGCCCCGGTTCGGATCCCACATGAGGGCCAGTGATGCTGCGCCCTCTACAGCTAAGATGGTGAACAACAGCTCGACCTGGAGCTGGGCTGCCGTGAGTCGCCAGCAACGGCATAGGCTGCAGCCCCTGCTGCAGTGGGCTGCCATAAGCTACTGTGTGTGAGGCCGGCAGCCAGCGTGAGCAGCCGGCAGCCGCTGTGAGCTGCCAAGAGCCACCGTGAGCGGCCTCCAGAGGCCAGTGACCAATCCGCCTCACCCAGGAAGAACGCGATGATAATACCAACATGGGCCAGTAAAGCAACGTCCTCCACAGCTAGACTGAAGAACAAAAACGACAGCAACTTGTCTGTTCCCCTTCCCCCAATTCCCCACCGCTGTTCCCCTCCCCCAATTCCCCCAATAAAATCTTTTAAAAAAAAAAAAGAATTCTCATACAAAATATCATGTCTTTTAATCTAGTGATTCTACTTCTAAGATTTTAGAGAAGAAACTAGAGCTGCAAAAAAAATGTATGAACATGTATGTCAACCACAAAAGTTTTAAAAGTTAGGTCTCATCCAAAATGATTAATTAATTGGTTAAATAATTAATGGGATTATGGCACAGTCATTGAATAACATACAATGCGGTCATGGAAACCTACAATGACGATCCACATTTACTGCCATGGAAAGAAGTCTGTGATATGTTAAGTGAAAAAGCTGCTATAAGACAGTAATTATGTTAGGATTCCATGTTTGTAAAAAAAAGGAATATTTTTATGAGTGTGTGTGTATGTGTGTGTATTCACCGAGGGGAAAAAAATGTGTGCAAGTAAAAAATAAAGAGAAGCAGATGGGAAAAAAATTAAAATGTCCAAATAATCCCACTAACTAGCAAACCTAGAAAACTTGGGTAGAATTATAAGTCATTCTTATACTCTTTTTGTTAGTTAACCTGCATTTTCTTTTTTTTTTAAATAATCATGTATTACCTTTATAAAAATAGTTAAAATGACTTTTTAAATGACACCTCATCTTTTCTTTAAGAAAATTTCATAAAACACAGGAATCCTAAATGGCAAAATTCTTCCAACTTTCCCAAATGAACACCCAACAACAAAGCCACTACTGAAACCATACACCTACTAAGATTTTCTGGGCTTGAGCCAGACCATTTTGCACAGAAGCTGAAGGCAGGTTTAATCAATCCTGTCTTCTAAGACCAATGGTCAGAAAGCAGTTTCCTCAGGCACTCAACAGGTAGCTCCTGACAACCCAACAGGCCAGAGGTTAATTAATCACTGCCTGGAGCAAAAAAGATTCATTAGCAAATTCTGACCAAGAAGATGTAATTCTGACCTCCTGCTTGTTAGCTTCTCTCGGGGATTGCACATGTCCGGAGGAAAACCATGATTCAAGCGGAGTTCCCCAGTAGATACATCATAGATGTGACGTGATAAGCACATGTGTGGAAACTCAAATGATCAAATCTAAATACATGAATAACAGTACACAGTGTAACTAGATTTCAGAATAAATACTTAGGATGACAATGATCAAAGAAGAATAAATCTAGACAAGGGGTTTCAAATCCTGTTTCTTCAGAGGCCTGATATTCCAGGTATGACCAGATAGAGAGCAAAAAAGGAGCTGTATTATGTTCATGGATGATTTTTTTTAATTTAATGTACTTCTCCCCTAAATTATTCTTAAACCTTCGGTGACTATCTTGTCTTCCAGGATATTATTAGCAGATGAGAAAATAAATAAATAGAAAATAAATATTAATGTGAAAATACATAGCTGATTGTGTTTCATTCCAGAGGATTATTTTTTGTTTTGCTTTTATTGTTCTTCCTGTATGTGCCCCCAGCTATACATATACTGCAAACAACTAACTTAATTATTGTCACCTACCAAATTGTTCCCAGTTGTCATTATGGGCCTCAACAGATCAGTGCAGTGGCAATGTTTAGGAGCCCAGCTCTGGGATGGAGTACCAGATCTATTACTTTGAGACTTTGGGCAAATTCCTTTCTCATAAGCCTCAATTCTCTCCTGTGTTAAATGGACATAATAGTACGTACACCTCATAGAGTTGTCTGCATTAAATGAGCTAGTGCTATGATTAGCTAGTAACTAGCACATAGTAAGTACTCAATAAAGGACACCTATTGTCAACATCATTATTATTCAATGCGGTGTTCCCCAAAGAATACCCTGATGTATAGAGCACTCCACCACCAAATAAATCTAAGAATCACTGACAGAATTCAGCAATGTGCTTATTGGTTTGACAAGTGTGTTTCTCGGATTCTTCTCTGATAATTGTATCAGATAACATGAGCATCCTATTCATGGCAACCTAAATATTTATTAGTTTTAAAACAGTGATTTTAGGGCCGGCTGAGTGGCTTAGTTGGTTAAGAGCTTGCTCAAGAGTGCGAGCTCTGAGCAACAAGGTCACTGGTTCGATTCCCACATGGGCCAGTGAGCTGCGCCCAAGCTGAGCTGCCACTGAGCTGCCAACAGGTGGCAGGATGGCTCAGCTGGTGAGAGCACGTGCTCCTAACAACAGGGTTGCCTGTTCCAGATGGTGGGCTACTCCCGCCCGCAACTAAAGACTGAACTTGGCGCCTTGAGCTGAGCTGCCGCCCGTGGGGCTCAGGAGATAGAGCGCATGCTCTTAACAACAAGGCTGCTCGTTCAACTCCCGCATGGGATGGTGGCTACGCCCACCGGCAACTAATTGAACACAGCACCTTGAACTGAGCGGCGTGACTGGACTTGGAGCTGAGTTTGCTGCACCCTCCACAACTAAGATTGAAGGACAACAACTTGGCTGTTTCCCTCCCCGCCGATTCCCCAACACTGTTCCCTTCCCCCAATTACCCAATAAATTCTTTAAAAAAAAACAACAAAAAAAGTGATTTTAGCTCTGCCTAACTAAAGAATAATATTTAACAGGCTAATTACTACTATTCAAATTTTTTATGAATAAATATTCTTTGGAGAATATTACCAAAAGAAAAGATTATCTGAAGAAATTAAGAAATTAAAATGAAATGAAAAAAAATTTTGGATGGTAAAGTAAAGAAAAACCTACCATTTTCAATTTTGCTTTTTGGATGTGGTCCACTAAATGCTAAAAATTTTCCTGGAACAATCCAGTTGAAGTCACCATTTTCAACTCGCTGGCAGAATTTTGTGAAAAAAAGAAAAGAAAAATATTTTATAATTCTTATACAATTTAGGAAACCCTTACAAATAAAACTGCTTTCCACTCTATTAGTACTAGATTAATTGGACATACATGAAAACAAAGAACATAGTTTAAAATAAAAACACACATTGATTCTCAAAATGATATTTATGAATTCAATCCACTTCAGAAAAACTTTTATCTAGACTAAAAAGTTTAGAAAACTTTATTTAAAGTGTAGGTACTTTGCTTAAAATAACTTTGTCTTCGGGCCACTCTGAAATGAAATGAAATGAAAACAAACATTGCTTGTCCCGGCAATAAATAAAGAAAAATAAGAGAAGATGGAAAATACGAGCACCTTCCACGAACATGTAAACATTTTAAACAATGGAAAAAAATCTGTAAGTATCAGGGTGATAATGAACACACTACCATTTTTTTCTGTTGTTACAGGTTAATATCTGTTGTCAACACTAATTTTTAGACTGGGAAGTGGAATAAGGCAGGTGTGAGGGGCAGAAGTTTGCAAACCCTAAAGGTATACCACCATCTAGAGTCAGCCAAGGTCTCCTGCAGGCACTGCAAATCCAAACGGCTCCAAGGAGCAGGCAAGAGACATAAATAAAGGCAAGTGCTCCTGGGCTCTGGCTAGTCACCTTACAGGAAAGCTGACTGATACGGCCCATCTTCCCATTGGATTTTCATGTGAAATTGCTCTATATTTGAAATTTGCCATTTTAAATGATGTCTTTAAATACTATGAAACCAAATAACACACACCTGGATTTGATCACCAGTTGTTGGCTTCTGGTCTACACACTGTATGGGATCCTCAGAAAAGGCTTAATGAAAGGACCAAGCATCCTTCCACTGCTCCATTATCTCCTCCACTTCCCTCCCTTCCCCACGTGCCTATGAATCCATGGAATACTGGGGCAGGGCTGAGGGCACTTGCGATTTTGCAGGTAATTGGGACACATTTGTGCAATGCATCACAAGTTATATACTGCCTCTTCACGAAGCATTCTAGCCCAACCGCATGGCCACGCACAGCTTCACGTCTCCAAGTCTCTACCCTCAGGGCCCTCACAGCACTGACAGCACTGCAGTGATGCCTCCCAGGCCCAGAAGGAAGGTGTTCTCTGTACTGGGCCAAGGCATTCTGGATAAAAGGCTCTCTCTTCCACTAGATGGCGCAGACCTCAACGGTGAGAATCGGAGTCAGTCTGAACTCTACTGTAAGAGCGCATAAATATGTTCTAAATAAATTCGAGTAATGCCATCAAGGAAATCTGGAGCCTCTACTTTAATTATTTATACTACTCATTATCATTTCCATGTAAATCCAAACTTAACTGTACAATTTTCATGTTTCAAATGCAGATGTTTCTTTCCAGTTATAAAAATATATAAATGGAAGTTTACATGATGCCTTGTAAATGTCTGAATTGCAATAATTTAATTGTAATACACATAATATCTCCATAATGCCCTAAATAAAATCTTAGAGCTACTGTGAGTGTTATGAGTACACATGCCAAATTACATCTCAAGCATACATATCTATTTATATCAATTTGAATGAAGAACCTAGTTACAACTTTTTATGAGAAATATTTTCTTGCTTAAATAAAGCATTATTAAATTAATGATCCAATATCCCTCTCAAATAATTATTAAGCTTAAAATATTATTTAAAAATTCAAAAATGAAGGTATGCTCTAATTATCAAAAGGCTAAAACCAATTCTTTATGAACAGTAGAAGAAAACAGGTTTCTATGGTCACTGTTTCTGTATCCTAGACCACTAAGCAGGCCTAGATAAATACATTGTGTTATGTCTGTTTATAGGGATTATAGACATCCATTTGGTTAAACAGTAACTGTTTATAATCAATCATATGGAGAGAAGCAATGGATCACTAAGATACATTCACTCACAGAACCAAAAGAATATATTTGCAAATCTGCCTACCCAAAAAGATAAACATTAGGTAATACTGGATAGAATGATGGCATAAAAAAGAGATTTAGGTCTTACATCCAAATCTGAAAATAAATTAATAAGCAATTTATAGCTTTTAACTGACTGATGTAACATAAGCTTACTTCGGTCAGCTTCCAAAATCAATATCTGTGCTTTCATTCATAGTGAATTATACAAATGTCAATATTTATGAATAGACTATTTAAGATAACATAAATTGGCTTTTTAAATTAAATACACACACACACACACACACACACACACACACTCTTCAAAGAAATCTAGATCACACAGGAACTTAAGGTACTTTCCAACCCTACCACATTTTGTAAACAAACATCTAAGTAAGGGTGAGTCAAGAGGATTTTACTTCTTCCATATAAAGTCCACCACATACCAAGTATTATCGAGAAAAATAGCATATGTTCCTCACTATAAGAAAACCCCTAGATAAAAGTCAGAAATCCTAAAACTGACATATTTAGGTGTTACTATTCACTTTGCTACACAATTCTCAGTCTACAAAAAGTTCACCAGATTTCTTTGGAATAGCAAACTCTCCTGGTGCATTTTAAAATATCAGTGGACTTGAAAACCTGAATTTTTACAACTTAGAAGAAATACATCTGTGCCAGTAAGGCATGTCTCTATTGTAATAGTCAAATATATATATTTTTCAGCCCAAACACTGAAAAACATTTGGCCTTTATATCATTGTAATAGACAGTAAGATAGAAAAGACAGACCTTGAGGTTGGCAATTACAGGATTGATTCCCTTATGAACAGCTGTGTTTTCTAACACAACATGGATAAACAGTTTTTAAGCATAATTCAACCTTCATTCAAACATTTGCTGAGCCTTTATTATGGATCAATGACTGTAACTTGATATATAATAAAATAAAATGAAAAGCATCCCCTCTGTGCTAAGGAGTCTAAAAGCGAGTGGGAGTGACAACAGTAATAATAGCAGCAAACATATGCCACTGGCTCTGTGCTAGGCACCACTCCATTACACACAGCTCATTTAATCCTTATAGCAATCCTATGAGGTAGGTGCTACTATCACCTCCATGTTACCTGTTGCTTTAAACTGAGTGCTTCTGTCCCCTCAAATTCATATATTAAAACCTAATCCCCAAANCAGAAATGTTTCTTAAGTCCTGAAACTTCAAAGTTAACCTATGTAAATAGGAAGGGTTACTCTAGATATTTAAGTCTGATTTCAAGAGTTCGTTCTTAATGCCATCTGAACTCATGAGTTAGTGAAAAAGAAAATAGCCCCCTTTTCAAATAGCTTATAAAGACATAAACCATATATCAAGAAGCAAATTTTAATGGACTAAACCAGAGAAAGGAGTAGCTGTGGATGGACCTAAGATAAGATGCTAGTATATATAAATAAGCACACAGTCTCTTGTAGACACACTTGTCTCTTTGAGTGCCATGGGCGCCTTCAGCAATGTGATGAAGTCTATGGATCCTTTTTTTCAGAATGTTTTTAAATGCACAAAATATAATACATAAACATAACAGAAGACTAATTCAAAGTTATCAATAGGTACAAGAACAAGTTTATAATACTATAATATGTACTTTTTTATTACTATATTCCATAACAAGGCCTAGTTGCAGGTCTGATAAGGACTATCATTTTGAAGAAGGAATGAACATAAAATGTTAAGGTACTTGCAACAACTGTAATGGGATATAAAAATGTTTGTCATTTCTATTGTGATAAAGTCATTTATATTGCTAATACTACTACAGTTTATTTCCAACATTTATAATTGAATGCACTCTTATAAATTACAAGGTTAGTGAAACTAAATTATTTTGTCATCTAAATTCACTGACTCTCTGAATTATCTTCACAAACCCTTCAATTCAAAACTACTGCCTAAAGGGAAAAACAACAACAAACAAACAAAAAAATGCTTTGTATTTAAAAAGAGTAAAAAAAAAAAAAATTATAAGAATTGGAGGTGCTCTTTATTCCCTCAAGTATATCTTCTCACGCCTAGACTCAGCTAAACAAATTCACAAATTTAAGTTGTCCGAAAAGCTCCAGACTCAGTCTTTCTGAAACTGTCTGCAAGGTATGGTGAGACTATCCTGATATCTCCTGTCCTATCACAGCCACAGTTTTTCCCAAGGACTGAAAAGAGTTCTGGTGACTTGGTGATCAAACCTGCAGGCCAGAGTGAAGGGAGAGTTGCTACGCCATCGGGCAGAATCAGGATATGAAGCAGTCACAACAGGCTGGAAAGACAGGCAGAAGTCTACCAAGCAAAACNTGCCATGTGGCTTTAAATAATAAGCTCTAGTTTATTAATTTAGATTTGTTTTTGAGAGAGACAGTGTGGTGGAGGGAAAGGGGAGTGGATGGTTGTGACTGTGGATGATTGCTTCACCTCTGCAGGCAACAGCAGGGGTGGGGAGACACTGGTGGTGGAAAACATTTCCACTGCTCCAATAACCCAGACCAGTGAACCCTCTGCTAATCAACCACATGGCGCAAGAATCCAGTGCACATGTGCAGGTGCCATTCCAGGGTTCAAGACATGAAGATTTGAGGCCATCACTACATACATGGTTGTTGAAACTTGGAAACAAGTGTCTCCACTCAGGGAGAGTGTATTTAACCAGAAATCACAGGGCCCTAGAGAGCAGCACCATCAGGGGGGCGCCGGAAAAGGACGGACTTGCAAAGGAGACAGATAAAGATGGCCAGAGATGGAAGGAGGAAAAAAGCAAGAGACAGAACCTGAGAAGTTAGGAGGGGAAAGTGAGTGTCTAGGATTAGAGCGTGTCCACAGAGTCGGTGAGCAGGAAGAAGGTCAAGTAAGTACAAGCATTTGGTTTTGCCAACTCTTATATTAGCAAGAATAGTTTCAGTAGAGTCACAAAGATGAACTCCACACCATAATCAGTTGACTGGTTGAGTAAAAACAAAGTCAAGACAGCTCTCTTAAGAAGGCTGGAGGTAAATGAAGGGACAGAGATTTTAAAAATAATTAAACAGAAGGGGAAAAAAAAACACGGGAAATTTCTTAGGACAAGGTAGACCTCAAAAATCTTTACTCAGGTTTAACCAACATAACCTTTGTACCAGCAATGGGTGTAGTGTATTATCATTGTGGAGTCCGTCCACATTAGGTGTTGCAATGTCCAGGAAGGAATTTTGTTTTTAGCTTCCTTAAACTTGTGGTATAATCAACACTACAGGATTGCTTCAGGGAAATGCTTCTAATACTTCTTTGAATAGTCAAATCACAGTGGCAGGCGCATCTCCATAGTTCCTCCAGGTGGCAAGGACAAGCCCACATACCTGCATTCTGGCATTTGCTCAACCCTAGTGCTACGGCAGGACTTCACAACTACAGTGGCAGAAATTCACATTTTTCTAGTTACATAATTCATGAACAAGTAAAGAGGGCAGACCAGGCAGCATCCAGATTACCTTCTAGTTTGCTGTGCCAATTCTAATCCAAAGCAAAGCCTTGACATGGCATACCTTAGGTGTTCAACAACACTGTCTCCTGCTATTGACCTGAGCTGACACACTCAGAGACAAGACACCTAACAACCTTACTAGTTCTCAAGGTACATGCAAAAGGGCAACCTCAGAAGTCTGGCCAGTTTGATAATTTATTTATTAACTGCAATGAAGGATGATATAGTCAACCTGGAGATAATCTCTATTCATATATTAAACTAAACTGACATTACACAAAAGCCCTGGTTGAAGATTACCATATCTAGCAATCCCTGTTGCCAATCACTGGTTTAGAAAAAACAAATAAACAAACAAAAAACTCATTCTTGCGGCACAGATTGGCCGGTAATGAAAGAAACATCATTTCATGAGGTTGTCTACCACAGTCAATAAATTATTCCCCTGGAGTGCTACTGCAAAATCAGAATGGATTCTTAATATAGCTTGTTTACTTTTCATTGTAAAATATTATAGTTACTTTTAACAGATTATATGAAGTGTCTTGAAATGTGCTATACTCCTATTTTTAGTACTCATTCACTCATGTATTTGTTGGTTCTATCATTTGATGACTGCCCACCATGAGTACACAGTACTACTAGGTGACTTATTCATACAGAGGTGAGTGAGACCTGTTTCCTGCCCTCAAGTACCCAGAGTGCAGGGAGGACACCGAGTGCAAACAGAGCAGCACACACACTGGAGAGAACTCCGCAGAGCTGAGAACAACTGAGACAGGCAAACACAGTGGGGGGGGGAAGGGATCACAGGCGGGAGGAGGGAACAAGAGCACATCCAAAGGCACGCCAGCAGGAAGGAAGCTGCATGGATCTGGGTGTGAGGAAGAGGGGAGAAGTACAACAGTGGAGAGGGAGAAAAAGCCCGTGGCAAAAGGGGCCTTCTGGGCTGCATGAAGGAGTTTTCAAGTTGGAGCCCACGAAGGACTTAAAGCAGGCGAGTGATACAATCAGACTCAATTTCTAAAAATGCACCCTGATAGTAATGTGAAGACATGATGGAAGAGGCCCCAAATTCAAGAAAGACGCAATCGCAGGCATCCAGAATCAAACAACGCATTCTCACAAACACTTTCCAGGTGGGCTACATTGTAATGTGGCCAAAATAATGTAAAACCACTTTCTATAATAGCAATGCTCTTTTCCCAAAAGAGCATCCTTTAGGTGAAAATAGCAATAACAATGAATTATGAATTGCTAAAAAGTCTCCGGAGCAAAATTTTCCACATTCAGCCTGTCATGGACCAATGAGAAATTCTGTGTAGACAATTAATTTGATAAGCATGAAGATAGGGGCTTGTGACAAAGGTCAAACATGATCATTTCTGCAGCATGAGGCACAAGAATATATGAATTCTATGATAGCAAGTGACAACAACACACCCCACACCGGAAGAGATGAAATTACAGGCAGCCTCCTGAAAAAACATACTCGTATGACCTAACACACATACTGAGCAAATGGGAGGTACTTAATAAATGCTCAGTAAATGAAATGAAAAGTTATCAAATTAAGGCTATAACGAGGTAATAGACTTCTTGACTGTCATGTAACAAAAGTTTACCTATACACCATAAATTCATTCTAAATAACAAAGCTCCCTAACCAGTGTAACAGAATGCAGTTGCCTGGGCAGGGACTGGGGCAGCCAGAGGCCCCTGGCCAGTGGCCTGCAGCTGTGAGCTATGATCACAGGGTGCTGAGCAAATATTATCATTTTCCACGTGTGTCA